GCTGCCTTTTGTTTGGCATTGGTCAGTTTTCTGTTTTCAAGGGCTTTACGGACTTCGGATTTCCTGGTAGGGCAAGTAGGTGAGACAGCATGGTGGGACCAGCCACATAGGATACACTTGGGTTTATTTCTGTTAGGGCAGTCCTTGTATACGTGGGCATCCGCACAGATGCTGCATACAGGATTCACTTCAGTGCATTTGTTTGTGTTATGACCAAAGTGGTAGCATTTGAAGCATTGGGTGATGGAGACGAATCTCTCCATGCTGACTTGGTCTGGCGTGCATTTGGTGTCGACGCATTTCAGGCCATGGTCACATACGTATTTGGCTTCTTCAGGTGTATCAAGGATAAGTTTCAGCAATTGCTGGTTGACAGAGTTCTTGGCAAACTTGTAAGCCTTGAGGACCGTGAATTCGGAGTTGTCTTGGTTGATTCCGTCCACGAGTTCAACGTCAGTGTATTCGCGCATGATGCTGTTGATGCGTGCAACAAACACTGAGCGCTGAGCCTGGAAGTTGTCAGGTGGGGTGAGGGAAATGCCCTCATCAGCGAGTTTGTCTAGAACGTCTCATTTTTAGAAGGTGGATTAGCTCCTCTTCCGAGGAGAGCAATAGTACTGCACCAGTGTGGGTGGTGATATGCCCACAGGTGCAATGGTAGCCTTGCTACTAATGCAGTCTAAAATTTCCCTTTTGGATTTCGGGTCACCAGTGACCAGAAGTCTCACTCTTATATTGGGCATCTTGCCCAGCTAATTTAAAGCTGACTCAGATAATATGCTGAAAAGAATTCAGTTGCCTGTGTGTGGTGCATCCTAATTCCTATTTCGGCTGACTTATGAAGAACAGCCCCTAAGATAGCATAGCCCTCGAGGGTGTGAGGGGAGACGGGGCCCAAGGCAAAGATCGGCCGGATTTTAAAAAACCACACGGGCTACTGGATGGTCAAAATGCCTTGTTTTAAGTCGCCAAAGGCGAAGTTGCCGAGAAATAAGAAGACAGGAAAGTTATAAGGATAGCAGTGTGAGTAGAGTGTTCTGTGGATAGGCCAGTGTATTGGGTTGGGTAAAGGGAGGGGTTTGGGTGGGGAAGGATTAAGATGGGGGTGGTGGGGGAGAGAGGGAACAAGCAGGCTGGTCACCGCCTTACCCTCTTGATGGGATGGGGCTCGAAGTGACTGCAAGCAAGTTTCCTCTCAGCTCTGGTCGAGACAACTCAGGATAACCCAAGAAAAATCTCGAGTAACAGTGTTCAGAGTTGCTCTGATCTCGAATTACTCAGGATAACCGAAGAGCAGGAGCGGCGACGTCTTCTCTCCGCAGCGGCTGGACGGCGACTCTTTGTTGCAGGAGAGGATGCTGTATATATATATGGTTGCCATAATGTAGCTTCGATAAAATTAGGGCTGAATGCAGTCGAAGGATCAGCCACTCATGAAAGATGATCGGGGGGATTTTAAGGTGGTTCAACCGGTTATGAGATGTTGCCTTCAAGGAGGCAATGTGACGTTTCCAGGATAACAGACTGTTAAACAGAAGGCTGAAGTACCTGACGGCATCACGTTCAGGTATACGTGAACCATACAGGTACAATGGATTATCAGGGACGATACAACGTCTATTGAAAGTAATTGAGTGTGTTTTAATATTAGAAAATTTAAACCTACGAGTAGTGGCCCAATTGAAAACACGGTTGACAACATTCTGGAGAGAAACTGCAGTGAGGTGACAGCCAGCGCCTGAACAGATAAAAAAAAAATGGCGATAACTGAGTTATTAGCAAATGCATTACGAACATACATATCTAAGTGGAGTAAGGGGTCAATATTAGAGCGGCCCTTACGAAAGCCGTGACTGGTGGAGAGACTGTTGTGTGTCTCTAAATACCACATCAAACGTATATTTACCAGACTTTCCATCATCTTGCAAACTGCACTGGTAAGAGCAATGAGACGATAGTGGAAGGCCGAAGTACCTGGTACGAAAGGAAATCTGGAGATTTCGACAGCTGGGGAACAACTCTTGCGACTAATAAATTAATAGGCATAGGGACAGGAAGCCCTGAGTGACTAATTCTAGACGTGTAAAAGCACATTATAAGACTTTTCTACTAGACGAAAAGTCTAAGGGCTTCTAACTCTCTGGCAGATTTGGAGGAAAGAAACGAGTGGCATAGATAGAGCTCTTGAGAGATACGGGCTAAATAATTACCAATTTCATTGATAGCAACCTGAAGAATGGGCACCTGGTCTGGAGAGCATTTAACACTCGGCCTCAGTGCTTTTCTTTCAGACTGCGCTCAAAGAGGAAGCTAAAGTGACGGTAGAAACATAATCCCGCCAACAAGCGAGTTTAACTTCACAGATGACACGGCAGGCGACCTCTCTCACCCGCTTAAAATCAAGGAGTCGCTCTGTGGTCCTGTTGTAATATCTGCTCCCTACAGGGAGTTTCAAACGTACCACATGAGCAAAACCTGGAGACCACCAAGGCACGCATTTCTGAAAATGTCTGCCCAAGATTTTAGGTATGGAATGTGAAGCCATGGTTAAAATTGAGGTCGAAAATAGGTGTAACAGCTCACCAATGGAGGACGAAGAAGGGTCCTCACTAAAAGCAGTTTGACGTGAGAGTACAGGTCCCAATTCGCTCAATTAATTTGCCAGCATGGACTTCGAGGAGGCGGAGAATAAGAATGGAAAGTGAGGAGGATTGGAAAATGATCGCTGTCATATAAATCTGTGAGCACAGACCAGGTAAAGTCTAGTGTAGTTGATGAAGGGAAACTAAGAGATCGATGCAAGAGAGACTGAGTACGAGGGACAAACTGGTTGGGAGTGCATGCATTTAAAACATGGAGGAGGAGAGAATTGAGAAGTGCCTCTAACTGTATGCCGTGAGAGTCATAGCGAGACCCTCCCAGAGGAAGTAGTGAGCGTTAAAATAGCCTTATAACAGAAGTGGTGACGGTAATGAAGAAACCAGAAACTCAGCATCTGTGATAGATAATGCCAGATAAGGAGAGAGATGCAAAGAACAGACCGTGTACCACTTATCCAAGTAGATGCGCTCTGCTGTGTAATGCAGCGATGAACAAAGATCTGATGGTATGGTATTCCAGTGCATGCAAGAAGTGCACTTTCATTAAAGGTTCCATTGGGAAAAGGATCCTGTGAATATAATAAAACAGCCCAAGATGGGATGGATAACCATGGAGCGCACCTGAAGCAATATTCTGAAGCTCACCCCAATTACCTCTGAAGCCTCGGATATTTCACTGTAAATAAGCTATAATTTACGAAAACAAAGATACAGGACTAGAAGGACAGTGAAGACAGCTGAAAACTAGTAACCAGCGAAGGATTGGAATGCATCAAAGAGAAGAGTTGTGCAGATAGAGTAGAAGAGTGAAGAGGAGCAACGGGAGGTGGATCAGTGTCCATCAATGGTTTAGTCTCCTCAGTATACTTAAAGATAGCCCCAATAAAGGAAAGGAATGCATTGGGGCGACGTTGGCGAGGAAGGACAGCGATAACAGAGGGGTGACGATTAATTAGCAAAGTAGGTGGAGAAGAGTATAGATGTATTAACGACAAGAATTACAGAATTGAAAAAGGGTATTTGAACTTGTTACAAGAAGATCATTTATAATGTAAGGAGAGAGACGTCGTAGCTTTCCTATGCATTTTGTACTTGTAGTCACGGATGTGCCTGTCTTTATCTACCAGAAATTTGGGAAACAATTTTCGGACCAAGAAGTGCTGTGGGAGCGTTGGTGAGAAGGGATCGGCAGTAAAATTAGTGCTTTAGGTTAGAAAAAACAAAAGGTCAGTGTTAACTGTGATCAGAATATGGTAAAAGAGTGATTGTTACAGGTGTCTTTTATGTTAGGAGTAGAGTGAGAGCATTCGTAGCATTTGTCACAAAAGACGTCAGTAGATGCAGGATCTAGAGATGATTGTTTTGAGCACTGGCAGGGCTCTGGAAAATCGTCAGAAATATTGGGGTGAAAACAAGCCAATGGTCGGATGGTGTTGAAAGGAGTGGTCACATGTCTCTGAGAGAGTGAGAGGCATTAAAGCGTGTCATCAGAGGAAGATCTGGTCAATTTAGGTGCAGTACGGAGGTGATTTTTGAGGTGGCAGGCGATCTGAAAATCGTCACACTATATGGGGAGAAGCCAGAAGCATGGTCGGATGTGTCAAAGGAGTCGGGCCAAGTCTCCTGCAAAAGATGCAGAGGCATTAGAAAGGTTCAAAGGAAGTTCCAGTAACAAGGTAGGGCCCAGTAGGAGCAGTTTCATGGATTTGGGACTCCATGGTTAGGTCTCTTTTGTTTTTTAGAAAAAAAGGAAGAAAAGAAGGAAAAAAAGGGAGGGGAACATGGAGGGGTAGCTCCTAGGAGAAATGAAAAGGCCATAAATCCCCCTCTGTGCCCAACAAGACCTCAGTGCAGCCAGTAGTGCAGATGCAGCATGGAACCCGTACCATACCCTACCCTTCATGCCACTAAACCAGCAATCCAGGATAGCAACCTCACATCTACTGAGCCAACTCGGTGGACAAAAGAGAGTGGTCGGACACCCGCCACAAAGCAAACCTCCTTCGGCCACCACCTCTTGGAATCCGACAGGCAGCCTTCAGAGATGCACCAGGATCTCCAGACTATCCAGATTTCACTGCGAACTACACTACCACCAAAGACCTCAATGGAATGGGATGAACCATGGTACCCTTTCACAACCTAGGAACAAGAACGCCTGAGGGAAGAACCCTAAAGGCTGAAAACAGGAAAAGGAAAGGAGAGGGATAGGGAGAGGAGCAGGAATGGAAAAGGAGGAATGGGGAGGATGGAAGAGAAAAGGGGAGGATTGGGGATTAATTAGATTCGGTCGGAGGAAGAAAACCAAAGGGTCCCGATTCGCCAGACTAATAGCCACTTCGCCGCAGCAAGGAGCCCCCTTTGAAAAGGATATAATTATATAAAATATCATTAACGTACCGAAAAGGGCCGACTCTAAGGTGCTGAAGTGGAGATCATCCGAGGATTGATCCGTCAACTGTGGCAGCGTTACTCCTGCAAATCCAATTGTTGCACCAACTTCCAGTTGTGTGAGCGCCACCACTACCGTAGCCATTAACTGTCAATGAACAGACAACTATAGTGAAGAGCCAGCACAGTACAGTGGTTAGAGCACTGCGCTGTTACTTTTACGCATGACATACATTAGCTAATAATCGAGAATTATCGTTCTCAATATACCGAAACTAGTCCATTACACAATTTATATCACGTAACTAAGTTTAAACTGAAAACCACAACACCATATCTGGGCCACTTAATTATTAACCCACAATACCGTAACCGAAGCAGTTCACTACTAACCAATAATTTGGAAAGAAATTTAAAATGTTTTAGTCTGTTCTGGACAATTATAGAATCTCTAATCGAGTCTGATCCAGGAGGACCATAACGTCGTCTAACATCTGCTATCTCTTTTATGCGTTAATAGATATGTATGTATATGACGGATAATGGCAGACGTAAACTATTATTTTTTTTTTTTTTTTGAGAAAGAACAACTTACGCATTATTTTAGTTATATCAAATGGAGTTTCCATGTACTTCCTTCTTGATATCTTCAAGGTAATTTTTATCTCATTATGGAAGAGAAAGCTAGTAATATAATATTGCTTACACTTATAAACAAGTGATAACGCCGTATTGTTTTTCAGGAACTCTGAAAATTATATTGTTTGACTCTCCCACAAATATTTAAATTATCCATTATGGGCTTTAGACGTTAAAGACTAACTTTATGTAAACTGATAGAAATAATAATAAAGAATAAAAGGCATAATACCGCCACTGAAACAATACGCACTCGGTAAAATCTTATGGTAATGGTTTGGTCTGACTTTAACCATTACGTTGTGATACACCAACACAGGAAGGTACAGGTGGGTTCGTTAGGACGGGTCCTCGCCCGTACTTCTCTATGTGGTGACTCGGCAGCGTCTCCCGAAGGAGTGTGGGAGTTTGTGCAGGTGATGTACCGTTTACAGCCCTATGGCAGAGGCAGCCCTGTGACAAAGGCACAGTGAGTCTTCTTCAACACAAGTGGTGTAGCAGTAAGCAACAATCATCAGAGACGCCCTGTAGCTGCGGTACATCACGTCTTCGGTTCAAGTGGCTTCCTGGTTCCTGGGTATACGATGGCGTGAGTCATCTCCAACTCAACAAACTCATCTGCTACCATTCGTGGCACTCGGGTTGCAGCCCAAGTTCCAGGTGGCACGAAAGTAAGGGAGCCAGTATATATACGAGAGGAAGGCAAGGACGGAAGAAAGAGATGTAGAATATTAAAAGTAAGGAAGTGGAGATAATAGTGTAAGAGGTGTTGCAGGTATTGGAAGTAATAGTTGTTGTTGTAATTGGTAGGGACAGAAGTTGTAATGGCACAAGAGTCAAAGAGTAAAGTGAAGAAAGGTAATAGTAATGGAACGGTCCCCCGTGGCCTGGTGGCAAAAGCTCTCGCTTCACACGGTGAGGGTCCGGGTTCAGTTCCCGGTGAAGGGGAAGAAACATAGGACATGTTTCCTTACACCTGTTGTCCATGTTCACCCATCAGTAAAATGGGTACCTGGGTGTTAGTGGACCGGTGTGGGTCGCATCCTGGAACAAAACTGACCTAATTTGCCCGAAATGCTCTGCATAACAAGGGCTTTCAGTATACTAGTAGTATCTCATTGATGTCAGATATGGTCTGTATATCTTGTGTACTTGTAGTAAATAAAGATATTATTTATTATAGTAGTAGCTGAAACGGATGAAGACTAAGAATAAAAACTAGACTGGAATGTTGCTACACACTAACAATCCAGTTTTAAATAATATTTGGATAATCTTCACCACCCATTTAAATTAGTCAAGCGTCTAAATTATTGAGAAAGTCTGAAGTTCTTTGAATAGGACTCTCTTAACTGTAGGAGAAATAGAACATCGTAATTTATACCAAATCTACAGAATTGTGCCAAATATGATTTCCAAAATTACTTCCTTTTATCGAAAAAGATTCGGCAAACACTGGAAAATACCTCTAATTAAATGCAAGGTGGAAATAAGTACACCGAAACAACTCAATAAGTGTTAAGAGACAGATTAGTTTTTGTAACATTCTTTCATACGTAATGGGAATTACCAGAGGAGCTCTAGCTGTCTTTAAGAGGAAATTGGATAAGCTTCTCAGCGTCTCAAGTAACTTCCTAACCAGTTAGGCTGTGGGGGATTCCTATGCATTGCATGCTGCAGCACCAGCAGCTTGGTTAAACAGGCCATCAACGAAGAGGCCCAGTCTGGTACCGGCCGACGGGGCAGATACATTCTGAATAATCTCCAGATAACTCTTACGTAACCGAAGGAGTTTGATTCCTTACTGTTGTTGTGGACAACCTCGTTACTCTGTTTGGTAAAACAAAATTTAATGATAGGAAAAATGTTGACTGTTTAGGACACAAATTGCTGGACAAAACTGACAACTAAATGGTTTTGGAAGCAATGATATGATCAAGAGTGTTTAGGTTCCACGGAAGAAAAGCTCAACCACGCTATGGTAGGTATTGCTGTGTCTGGGGGTAAACTCAGATGTTATCAAATAGAGAAACTTTCTCGAACCAGACGCACCTCACTAGCATCAGAAACCTCTACAGGAACCACTTTATTGGCAGTGATTGATCTATGTAGCGGACTGAGTTATTACGCAAGTATTGTAGATGAAACCAACAGTCACAGTGAAAAACCACTCACCTGATGCAGGACAGTAGGTTTAGAACGATCAGATGTAAACACCTCGCTGTCCCTGAGAACGAGGCTGTGTCTGTCACTACTGACATCTTCCTCAGCTGACTCTCTTTTTAAAAGGGATTCATCTAGCCCCTGTGCAGAGTCTGATGGATCTCCGCAGGTTGTCAGCTGCGACTTCTGCACCGCAGACATTGTACCTTCCCTCAACACTACACGAAACAAAACGAAACTGAAAATAAAGACTAAAATTACTAAAAACAATGATCCACTCCATTGAAAAGAAAATAACCTACAAAAAATTGAAGAAAGGCAAAAATAAAAGAATAAATTAAATATTACATGATTAAATAAGACTAATAAGGGGAAGGAAGGGGAATAACATATTTCATAAACAATGTTGTGACTGAGCAGTAGCAGGTTCACTGGGGGTGTCCCGGCCAGGGTGTCCCGGCCAGGGTGTCCCGGCCTGGGTGTCCTGGCCAGGGTGTCCCGGCCTGGGTGTCCCGGCCTGGGTGTCCCGGCCTGGGTGTCCCGGCCTGGGTGTCCTGGCCAGGGTGTCCCGGCCAGGGTGTCCCGGCCTGGGTGTCCCGGCCTGGGTGTCCCGGCCAGGGTGTCCCGGCCAGGGTGTCCCGGCCAGGGTGTCCGGCCAGGGTGTCCTGGCCAGGGTGTCCTGGCCAGGGTGTCCTGGCCAGGGTTGTCCGGCCAGGGTGTCCTGGCCAGGGTGTCCTGGCCAGGGTGTCCTGGCCAGGGTGTCCCGGCCAGGGTGTCCCGGCCAGGGTGTCCCGGCCAGGGTGTCCCGGCCAGGGTGTACCGGCCAGGGTGTCCTGGCCAGGGTGTCCCGGCCTGGGTGTCCCGGCCAGGGTGTCCTGGCCAGGGTGTCCCGGCCAGAGTGTCCCGGCCAGGGTGTCCTGGCCAGGGTGTCCTGGCCAGGGTGTCCCAGCCAGGGTGTCCTGGCCAGGGTGTCCCGGCCAGGGTGTCCTGGCCAGGGTGTCCGGCCAGGGTGTCCCCCAGATGGTGACCCATCAAGCCCACCACCTGCGCCAAACATTTTTTTCCCAGAAAAATAATTAAGACCATACAAATACTAATAATAATAATAATAAAAATAATAATAATAATAATAATAATAATAATAATAATAATAATATAAAATAACAGTAAACATACAAAAATTTACATATAATGAAACATTAATACAATTAACTAATAAAAATATAACTAATAATACAAATGTTGTTATTACTTGTAGTAACAGTAAGTGTAACGTAACAGTAAGTGTAACGTAACAGTAAGTGTAATGTAACAGTAAGTGTAATGTAACAGTAAGTGTAACGTAACAGTAAGTGTAACGTAACAGTAAGTGTAATGTAACAGTAAGTGTAACGTAACAGTAAGTGTAACGTAACAGTAAGTGTAATGTAACAGTAAGTGTAACGTAACAGTAAGTGTAACGTAACAGTAAGTGTAATGTAACAGTAAGTGTAATGTAACAGTAAGTGTAACGTAACAGTAAGTGTAACGTAACAGTAAGTGTAACGTAACAGTAAGTGTAATGTAACAGTAAGTGTAACGTAACAGTAAGTGTAACGTAACAGTAAGTGTAACGTAACAGTAAGTGTAATGTAACAGTAAGTGTAACGTAACAGCAAGTGTAACGTAACAGTAAGTGTAATGTAACAGTAAGTGTAACGTAACAGTAAGTGTAATGTAACAGTAAGTGTAACGTAACAGTAAGTGTAATGTAACAGTAAGTGTAACGTAACAGTAAGTGTAATGTAACAGTAAGAGTAACGTAACAGTAAGTGTAATGTAACAGTAAGTGTAATGTAACAGTAAGTGTAATGTAACAGTAAATGTAACGTAACAGTAAGTGTAACGAAACAGTAATTGTAACGTAACAGTAAGTGTAATGTAACAGCATTGTTATTATGACGAAGGGAAGCGCTAAACCTGTAGGGGTCATTCCTCCTGCGGGGAATAATAATAATGATGATGGTTCAACGTCATTATACTGACTAGCTGTGTGATCCACTGTGTGATCCACTGTGTGATCCACTGTGTGATCCACTGTGTGATCCACTGTGTGATCCACTGTGTGATCCACTGTGTGATCCACTGTGTGATCACTGTGTGATCCACTGTGTGATCCCCTGTGTGATCCACTGTGTGATCCACTGTGTGATCCACTGTGTGATCCACTGTGTGATCCGCTGTGTGATCCACTGTGTGATCCACTGTGTGATCCACTGTGTGATCCACTGTGTGATCCACTGTGTGATCCACTGTGTGATCCACTGTGTGATCCACTGTGTGATCCACTGTGTGATCCACTGGTGTGATCCACTGTGTGATCCACTGTGTGATCCACTGTGTGATCCACTGTGTGATCCACTGTGTGATCCACTGTGTGATCCCCTGTGTGATCCCCTGTGTGATCCCCTGTGTGATCCCTGTGTGATCCACTGTGTGATCCCTGTGTGATCCCCTGTGTGATCCACTGTGTGATCCATGTGTGATCCACTGTGTGATCCACTGTGTGATCCACTGTGTGATCCACTGTGTGATCCACTGTGTGATCCACTGTGTGATCCACTGCCTGTGTGATCCACTGTGTGATCCACTGTGTGATCCACTGTGTGATCCCCTGTGTGATCCCCTGTGTGATCCCCTGTGTGATCCCCTGTGTGATCCACTGTGTGATCCCCTGTGTGATCCCCTGTGTGATCCACTGTGTGATCCACTGTGTGATCCACTGTGTGATCCCTGTGTGATCCACTGTGTGATCACTGTGTGATCCACTGTGTGATCCACTGTGTGATCCGCTGTGTGATCCACTGTGTGATCCACTGTGTGATCCACTGTGTGATCCACTGTGTGATCCACTGTGTGATCCACTGTGTGATCCACTGTGTGATCCACTGTGTGATCCACTGTGTGATCCACTGTGTGATCCACTGTGTGATCCACTGTGTGATCCACTGTTGATCCACTGTGTGATCCACTGTGTGATCCACTGTGTGATCCACTGTGTGATCCCCTGTGTGATCCCCTGTGTGATCCCCTGTGTGATCCACTGTGTGATCCCCTGTGTGATCCCCTGTGTGATCCACTGTGTGATCCACTGTGTGATCCACTGTGTGATCCACTGTGTGATCCCTGTGTGATCCCCTGTGTGATCCCCTGTGTGATCCACTGTGTGATCCACTGTGTGATCCACTGTGTGATCCACTGTGTGATCCACTGTGTGATCCACTGTGTGATCCACTGTGTGATCCACTGTGTGATCCACTGTGTGATCCACTGTGTGATCCCCTGTGTGATCCACTGTGTGATCCACTGTTTGATCCACTGTGTGATCCACTGTGTGATCCACTGTGTGATCCACTGTGTGATCCCCTGTGTGATCCCCTGTGTGATCCCCTGTGTGATCCACTGTGTGATCCACTGTGTGATCCACTGTGTGATCCACTGTGTGATCCCCTGTGTGATCCCCTGTGTGATCCCTGTGTGATCCACTGTGTGATCCACTGTGTGATCCACTGTGTGATCCCCTGTGTGATCCCCTGTGTGATCCCCTGTGTGATCCACTGTGTGATCCACTGTGTGATCCACTGTGTGATCCACTGTGTGATCCCCTGTGTGATCCCCTGTGTGATCCCCTGTGTGATCACTGGTGTTGATCCACTGTGTGATCCACTGTGTGATCCACTGTGTGATCCACTGTGTGTCCACTGTGTGATCCACTGTGTGATCCACTGTGTGATCCACTGTGTGATCCACTGTGTGATCCACTGTGTGATCCCCTGTGTGATCCACTGTGTGATCCACTGTTTGATCCACTGTGTGATCCACTGTGTGATCCACTGTGTGATCCACTTGTGTGATCCCCTGTGTGATCCACTGTGTGATCCACTGTGTGATCCACTGTGTGATCCACTGTGTGATCCACTGTGTGATCCACTGTGTGATCCACTGTGTGATCCACTGTGTGATCCACTGTGTGATCCACTGTGTGATCCACTGTGTGATCCACTGTGTGATCCCCTGTGATCCACTGTGTGATCCACGTTTGATCACTGTGTGATCCACTGTGTGATCCACTGTGTGATCCACTGTGTGATCCCCTGTGTGATCCACTGTGTGATCCACTGTGTGATCCACTGTGTGATCCACTGTGTGATCCACTGTGTGATCCCCTGTGTGATCCACTGTGGTGATCCCTGTGTGATCCACTGTGTGATCCACTGTGTGATCCACTGTGTGATCCCCTGTGTGATCCACTGTGTGATCCCCTGTGTGATCCACTGTGTGATCCACTGTGTGATCCACTGTGTGATCCCCTGTGTGATCCACTGTGTGATCCATTGTGTGATCCACTGTGTGATCCACTGTGTGATCCACTGTGTGATCCACTGTGTGATCCACTGTGTGATCCACTGTGTGATCCACTGTGTGATCCACTGTGTGATCCACTGTGTGATCCCCTGTGTGATCCACTGTGTGATCCCCTATGTGATACCCTGTGTGATCCCCTGTGTGATCCACTGTGTGATCCCCTGTGTGATCCACTGTGTGATCCCCTGTGTGATCCACTGTGTGATCCACTGTGTGATCCCCTGTGTGATCCACTGTGTGATCCACTGTGTGATCCACTGTGTGATCCCCTGTGTGATCCACTGTGTGATCCACTGTGTGATCCCCTGTGTGATCCACTGTGTGATCCACTGTGTGATCCACTGTGTGATCCACTGTGTGATCCACTGTGTGATCCACTGTGTGATCCACTGTGTGATCCCTGTGTGATCCACTGTGTGATCCCCTGTGTGATCCACTGTGTGATCCACTGTGTGATCCACTGTGTGATCCACTGTGTGATCCCCTGTGTGATCCACTGTGTGATCCCCTGTGTGATCCACTGTGTGATCCACTGTGTGATCCACTGTGTGATCCACTGTGTGATCCACTGTGTGATCCACTGTGTGATCCCCTGTGTGATCCACTGTGTTATCCACTGTGTGATCCACTGTGTGATCCACTGTGTGATCCACTGTGTGATCCCCTGTGTGATCCCCTGTGTGATCCACTGTGTGATCCACTGTGTGATCCACTGTGTGATCCACTGTCTGCGTGAACCACTGTCTATGTGATCCACTGTCTGTGTGATCCACTGTCTGTGTGATCCACTGTCTGCGTGATCCACTATCTGCGTGATCCACTGTCTGCGTGATC